CTCTGGTTTGAGCCAAATTTTTCTTATTTTATGCTCTTTCTAACGATATACAATTTAAGACGTATCATTTGAAATTTTTAGGGATTTGGAGTTCCCTTAGGGCAATCCCATGGGGAGACGACTCCCAATCCCCTTAAATGAGTTGCCCCTTGAAATGATCAAACACGTATTTCGATATTTTTCATAATTTTAAGCCATTTCTGAAATATAGATGGTGGACACTTTTTGTTTGCAGACCCTGTATATGTATATACATATACATATATACAGGGTATGTTATTTTAAATACTCCAAACAAATATCTCGAAAAATATGGAAGAGACGAGGAAACGTTTCAGACAAATGTAAGATATCAAGGGACACAAATAAATCAATCATTGATGAAATCAATTTTCGAAAAAATCGAATCTTTAAGGTCAGGTAAAGGTCATCTCCATTTTTTAAAATGGAAATTGTATGATTCTTTCATAATATACATCTTCTCATTATTCTACATATAAAAATTTTAGTTAGAGTTAAGGGGATGCTGGAGCCGTAGCCGAACTCGATCAGCGTCGATAAAGAAGTGCTCACCGACTATATCTGTCCTTGTATAGACACACTGAAAAAAAATTTATTACAATTAACGAAATTTGACTTGTTTCAAGTAAATGATTTCGTTCAATAGTACTAAAGAAATATTTATTTGAATCAAGATACAATTTTTCTTTGGAACAAATAAATATTTCCTAGAAAATGAAAAATCGTGAACTGAAATGCAATGAATTGTTACTTACTTATAGTAAATATTTCGTTGATTCAAGATAATCAGATCTTGCCTCAAGATCCGCATTTCTTAAATCAAATAAATATTAACCTAAAGAAAATAAATATTTACTTGAGAATACAAAATCATTTCGATTTATGAATTGAAATGCAATGAATTGTTACTTGTAGTAAATATTTCGTTGATTCAAGATAATCAAATCTTGCCTCAAGATCTGCATTTTTTAAATTAAATAAATATTAACCTAAAGAAAATAAATATTTACTTGAGAATACAAAACTATTTCGATTTATGAATTGAAATGCAATGAATTGCTACTTACTTTTAGTAAATATTTCGTTGATTCAAGATAATCAGATCTTGCCTCAAGATCTGCATTTCTTAAATTAAATAAATATTAACGTAAAGAAAATAAATATTTACTTGAGAATACAAAACCATTTCGATTCATGAATTAAAATTCAGTGAATTGTTACTTACTTATAGCAAATATTTCGTTGATTCAAGATAATCAGATCTTGCCTCAAGATCTGCATTTCTTAAATCAAATAAAAATTAACGTAAAGAAAATAAATTTTTACTTGAGAATACATAACCATTTCGATTTATGAATTAAAATTCAGTGAATTATTACTTACTTACAGTTAATATTTCGTTGGTTCAAGACAATCACATCTTGCTTCAAGATCTGCATTTTTTAGATCAAATAAATATTGTAGCGAAGCTAGGTAATTCGGACTTTGATCAAAACGCTTGGTTGTTCCGCGCATTGACCAATCAATCCTAATGGAACGCCCGCGCTATACGGGCTTTGACCATAACATATATTATATGTTATATTGGTATATATATATATCACAGTAGAGGGCTTATAAATAAAAACAGATTGAAATATTACGAACAAGTGTTTTATTTATCAATCGTTTTTTTTAATATATATAATTATTAGAAGGTACATAATGTTTTGAATCGGACATAGTATGCACATTTTGTACTCGATAATCTACAAGATTTTCATGGCTTACAAATCCCCACTCTTCTGTCTCTGTGATTTCGAAAGCGCTTAAATGGAAACAGTGTTCTACAATTTGAATTTTGCAGTACAAAAAAAAATTTTTTTTTTCAAAGCCGATTATTATAAATTTTATTTTACCGAGAGAAACGCCAAAATCGTTTTTACTATAATTAATAACGTTATTTATTTCATAACGCGTCCCATTCATCCTTACCCAAGAGTAGCAGTTATAATAAAAAAAATTATGTGAAGGTAAATATTCTTTAAAACTTTCAAATTGACTTGTTAATCTAACTTTTACAAAAGGAATGCCATGAGAAAGATCATCATCAGAAAATCCAATATTACGCACTAGTCTATGAGAAAACTGTAACTGATGCTTTACTGCTAAGCTGTACGAAGGGTTTTTACGACTAGTGATAATTTTACTAGTTTCTTTTATTTGCTTGTGCTTGGCTTCGAAGCGCATACTGGACATATTTTTGAGTGGACCGAATGCACGCATAATTCGGGGATAGTGCAGCAGAATATGATGTTTAAATTTGAAGTTACATTTAAATAATTGTTAATGGGATGTTAAGTATTGGAAAACTAATTTTTCAAAGTTTTTAATAATTTCTTCGTTAATAGCTTCTGCTATTGCTATACACACAATTTTACGCATTATTAAATATAATTGCCAATATTTATTATTACTTTCAATTAAATCACTAACGAACAGACAGAGATTTTTTACTAGATAATGCATCTCAGATGCTGATAATATAATTAATTCTTTTTTAATTGATTCTGATTGTAAAGGTGGTGGAACATTAGAGTCGGAAACGTGATTAAAACACTTAATTCTTTCGTTTAAAACATCTAAAGTAAAAAAGTTCTCTGTATTAATAAAATTATTCAAAATTTTAGCCAAATCGTATCTACATATCCCTTCAAATAAATCGTGCATTGGGTCCACTGAAAAATTTTGAGTTACGTGATAATTTGATATTACATGAAATACGCAATTTTCTCTAACTCCAAAAGTTTTTTCACTACAATGTGTAGAGTAGTTTGCTCTTGTTCTTAACATTTCTGGTTTTTCTTTCTTTTGTTTTTGTAATTTATCTTTAGGAACTGTACAAACTCGACAACAATGTGAGGAATTAAAACTTTTTGAGAAACCAAGAATTGTATTTAGTCCTAAGTTGTCACCTACTATGTAAGTTAAAACAAAAAAAATGTTCTTTTCCTCTCCATCAATGTTAATAATAATTCCATTATTTTGAAGATCAATGATTTCCTCTATGATGAAATTAAAAATTTGTTTATTTCCTACAGTGTTGTGATCCTGAGAGTTATGTAATTGCCATAAAAAAATATTTTCCAATTTACTAACATATTTCGTGGGCAAAATTGGAATAGAGCAGTACACTGCTCCAATTTTGTTGATGGTTCTATGCGTCCCTAAAGGATTATTTATTTCGATATCATCAAAATACAAAATTATAGGAAAAATAATTTTTTTAGCTTGATTAGCTACGTTTGTGTTCCAAAAATCACCTTTCATTACCGAATTAATGAGCACACTTTTATTACATTTTTCTATATGCTTCATTATTACAGAAAAAACCATTGGCATTTCTAAAAAATTTTTTAACATCAATTTTATAGGTATTATAGTCAATGTACTTTTACAGATTACGAAACGCCTTCTACCTTTTAATTTGCCATATTTTAAAAATGATTTAACAACGATTTTTTTCGGCGGAAAATAATTTATTTCACTCAAAAATTTTAACGTCAAATGTTCTGTTCTAAATGTGTCAAAACCATTTTTCATCACGTCTAGCATATTATGTAATTCAATATTATTTTAAAATTTACATTTTAAAAAATCTAAACAATTATTAATGTACGTTGTACATATATCAACGATAATTTTATGAATTACTTTTCTATTTAAACTTCCATAGGCATACAGCTGCGTAACCAAGCAAAGAGAAAAATTGAAAACTTTACTTTTAAAAGTATCAATAGTGAGTTCTTCGTTATTGCATAAAGCTTCCGGTACATCTTTGTCTTTCAATGATTCAGTCGGAATATTTAAATGTTGTAGTACTGCATTTGTTTCTTTAGTTAAATCTACAATATCATTATTCAAGTTACTTGGTACTTCAGCTATTTCACAAGGTAATGATTCTTCGGATAATTTTTGCACACAATGTTTATTTTTTATATGTCTTACTAATGAATGAACACAAGTGTATTTGTAAAAGCAATCTGCAAAATTGCATTGCACCTCATAATTCATTAGTGCTTTATGTTTTAATTTTACGTGGCTCATCAAAGACTCTAATGATAAGAATGAATGGGCGCAGAAAAAGCAAGAGAACATTTTTTTTATATTAACGCAAACTTAAAATGTAACGTACCAACTTATTTTTCAATACCAGTAGTTACACAAATTATCGATGTATAATAAAATTAAATGGCTGATGTAGAAAAAATTATATAGTATCTTTTTTTAATTAACGCAAACTTAAAATCTAATGCATTACATTATTTTTATATAATAATCGGTAATGACTCATAAATGTGTCAAATTTGATGAACACAAAATAATTATGAAAGAAATAAAATATTATTTGGCAAATGAGAATCCAAATACTAATCAATCTAATCATGAGACTAAATATTCGAACAAAAAACAAGAAAATATTTTCTTTTGTTTATTAACGCCAACATAAAATCTAGTGTATCAAAGTGTTTTTAAATAATAATCGTTAAATGACTCATGAATGTGCTAATTGTGATCAACACAAAATAATTATGAAAGAAATAAAATAAAATTTGGCAAATGAGAATCCAAAAACGCAGTTCTAATAAGTAATCAATCTAATCATGAGACTAAATATTTGAACAAAAAACAAGAAAATATTTTCTGTTTTTTATTAACGCCAACATAACATCTAGTGTATCACAGTGTTTTTAAATAATAATCGTTAAATGACTCATGAATGTGCCATATGTGATCAACACAAAATAATTATGAAAAAAAATAAAATCTTTTCGTTGGTTAATTAAAAGTTAAAAACAGTTGTAATTACTAATCAATCTAATCGTAGGAATGAATGCTCACCAAAAAACAAGAAAGTATTTTTTTATATTAACGCTAATTATAAATGTAAGATATTATCTTTTTTCAAAATTTGTTAAATAACTTATACATGTGTCGAATGTATAAACGAACAAGAAATAATGATAAAAATAAAAAATGTGTCCTAGTTAACGAAAAACTGAAAACACTAGTTACAATACGCAAGAAAAACAAGAAAAGATTTTCTTTATATTCGCTCTTGAGATTGAAATGTATGTTACTTTTACTTGTTCGAATCCGACGTTTTCTCCTCTGCAGTATTCCTCTCAGTTAGCTGCTTTAGCACATGTTCAATGGATGTAATATGCGGATCGTAGGGTAAATTGATATTGTAGATTCCTTTTTGAATTAATATCCATAAATGCTCACTGGCCACAGGATACTCGAGGTTGAATACATGAAAAGTCTTAAAACAGATATCTAAGCCTTGTAGAACTCCTTGAACTTTGTACAACTCGTTGTCAATACAGACATAAATGTCTTGTACATCTTCAATAGATCCTACAATGATCAAAAAAGGCTGGACTGAAAGTTTAAGTTCTGCAGCCCTCGCTTTTGTTTCTTGCCTGAGTCTCATCATGTCTCCAGGAATCTGTAAAAAATTTATAAATACGTGTAAATTTGTATATACATAAAAAAGATAATTTTATTGAAAAATATGCATTGAAATGAATGTTTAATAATTCACTTAGTTGCGTACATAGTTTAAATAAATTTATACTTAGAAATATGTCTAAATCTCAATCCTCAATATTATTGAACTAAAAAGTTCCAATTAAATTTAAAAAATTTGTTATAAATAGATGCATACTAACATTTGCAAATTTTAAGAAACTATCTTTTGCGAGTCCGACAGATGGCTTGAAGCACTTGTTTTGTATCCTATTCATTCGTCTTGGTGGAAGCAAGTGAGGAAGTAAACTAAGACTCATGGCTATCATGGAATCTATAATATAAATCAATAACTTAAAAACTAATTAAAAATTAGGTAGTTCGATATATTTTTATAAATAAATTTCATGTATTTACCATCTGAAACATCTTTAGACTTCATTGTTTCTATAAGAACCTTTGCTGTTTCATCTTTGGAGCTAATACAAGTATGCTGCTGCAAAGTATTTACAAATTTTAACCAAATATCTTTATCCAAATTCACTTTAGATAAGTTTAAGCATTGAAAATCAGCATCAATTAATTCATATCCACTAGGATGCTTATACAGCTTCCATGTTTCAAATATATCCACCAAATTTTTGTCTGTTGATTGTTTTAATGCTTTGGTTCGATGAGCAGAAGTTTTTTTCCAATGCTCTAAAACTAGATCCCACGGAGCTTGATTCTTTTCTAACCAGTCCAGGGAATGTTTCATATCATCTTGTATGGTCTCTGTACGATGTAATATGTATAAAAATTTTATTATTTAAAAAAAATGATAATGGAAGTTTTCAATATACAAGGCCAAAACAAGCTGACTGTTTAACAAAATAATTTTTACAGCTTATAATTTGGAGTGAATATAAACTGAAATTTTTTTCTTATTTTAAAAAAGTACTCATTAAGTTTTTTATTTAATATTATCTCTCTCTCTCTCTCTTTCTCTCTCTAGTTAAAACTTTTTTAAAAAAAATTATTAATTAGAATAAAATTAAGAATAATATAAAGCAGAATGGTATAAATCAATTTCTACGAGGATATAATGCACCTTTTTGTTTCTTAAAAATATTTGTTGAAAATAAAAAACAGTTTTATTTTGACTCAAAGGCCTCTTTAACCCAGGCTATTTCTATATTTGTTTATACAAAAAATTACCTTACCGGGCTCAGTGCTTTGATCATTTGCAGCTTTCGCCTCATTGGTTACTTTCACTTGCAATTTTTTATATTGGCATTGACGGTTCCGCCACATACTCATCAATTTTCCACGAGCAGGTATGGATTTATTACTGGAAGAATCTTTTTTTGCAATTGGTGGTATGTAGTACGTATTTGCTGCTTCTGATGGGAAGGTTTTAATAATCATTGTAACGATCGTGTCTGCTAGCGCATTATTTAAGCTACAACCAAAAGTAAAAATAAAAATACATATGTGTGACCTATCAAAAAATTTGCATTGAGGTGAAGCTCTATTAAACAATTTAAAATTGTTTAATTGTGGTACAATTTGTCTAATAATTTTCAAGTTATAATATAAGTTCCTTTTTTGTTGTAAAAAAGAGCTGACTATGACCCATGCTTTAAACCTATTGAGTGTCAGTATCAAGAATTTTATTATTTTTTCATATCATAAATAAAAAAAGTTTGCTAGATTTATAATTCTCAAGTAATTATTTTGTTCTCAAGAAATAAAAAAATTTGAGTTAAAAAACTGTAAAATTGCCCAAAAACTTTTGTTTGAATGGCTGTAACTTCATCAATTTTAAGAAATTCTATGTGTCTTAAAATGTGCCTTCAATTATAAATATTTAAAAAATGCGATAAAAGAAATTAATTTTTGGCCAAAAATCAGTAGAGCTTCACCTTAATTTAGTACATATTTTTTAAAACATTTTACCTTATTGATCGATTTTCTAAATCTGTTATGATTATGTGACACAGCTTATTCCTATGTTTATCATGCACAAAGTTGTTCTGTTCAAACGAGGCTAAAATTTCTTTTCCTATCATAGATTCCATGAGCAGGTCCTTCAGAGGTTTCAGTGATTGTTTAGCATAAATATTATTATATGAAACGTTGACAGAACTTGACGAATTTTCTTCATCTTTTAGTTTTTTAGCTGATTTCATTGAACTATCGGCCATAGAATCATCACCTCTTTTCTATACATACAAATTTTTCAAAAAAAATTTAGTATTTTAATGCCAATGCTTTTTGCACAGGTTAAAGGGAAAATAGTATGTATAATAGTTATTTTAGTTCAAATGTATTGCGTTATACAAATTTCAAATAAAAAAATTTCGTTTACTGCATAGCTTTTAAAAGAACATAACTTTTAGCTATTTCTTACGTATTTAGTATAACTTTTCAATACTTTTCAATAATTGATAATTGTATTATCACATAAAAAGGATTATTAAAAAATTATGTGCAAAAATTACAAATTATTTACTTTACGTAATCTAGGTTAAAAAATCATTCTTTAAAACTGTTTACCTTTTTATTATTTGCATGATAATCATTACTTTCATCACATTCATCTTTGCCAAAATGTTTACGCCAATAGTTAAGGAATTTGGCTCTGTCACCAATAATAGGTATAAGATCACATATCAATGCTTCAGATATTATTTCTAATACATCCATGCTGATTTTATTTTCTGAAATGCAGTTATAAATATTATTTTTTGGATAGTGTATGCAGAAAAAATTACTTTATTTGTAAATCTTGAATTTGAACGTTTTTAAACTTTTGTTATAATAGTTTTAGTGGCAATTGTCTACCTGGATAAAAATTATTTCAATAAGAAGTATATAGACATGTATTCTAATGAAAATATAATTAAGAAATAATGAAAAAGATCTAAATTTTTTTATTTAAGTACTTCAAATATTTAAGGTGATTTATATAAAATTTCATTGCGATGCAGAGATTTTAGTTCTGTAAATAAATATAAATTATTAATTTATTTATTTTCAGAATAACTAAACAATCACACTGATACATATTTTTCAATAAATTACAATTAACTTTCAAGTTAGCAGCCGATTCATCTTAACAATTATTTAATCCAATAAAAACTAAATGAAAAAACATTGTACATCGATAAAAATTCTAAAATAATACTCGTACAGGCATTTTTATTTTGAGCATGTAGGAATTCTTTTACTTACATTCTATTTTGACTAATCGGCCGCTAGCTTCAGTCATCAAAACAATTTTTTGCCGAGCTCTGATCTAAACAAAACAACACTTACTTTCAAAAGTTTCCACCAAGTGAGCAAGTTGTAGGTCGTGTAATAAAGTCTTCGTAGTCTCATCAGCCATGATGAAAAAATTGCTTCCTCCAACACACAATACACAACAATATGATGTCGAACAAAAATAGAATCTGCAGGCGTTATGCGAGAAAATGCGGGCTCGCGTCCGGATCTGGCTCGCGGTCTTTCTGACGCGGCGTATTTACGAGGCGCAACCGTGTGAGACCCAATACAGTGTAATTACCGCTACGAGCCTTGGCGATAGAGAGCCGTAGGCGGTGGTGTCTCCGGCACGCTCGTGTCGGCCTCCAGGGTCTTCGTGCCGGTCTTCTTCGTCGTCTTCACGGACTTCTTCAACTTGCTCTGCGAGCCGTCCGCGGCGGTGACCTCCGTCGCGGCTGAGGGCGCCGCCTCGTCGGGCTTCGCCTTCGGTTTCTTCGTCACCTTCTTCACCACCTTCTTCGCCTTCTTGTCCGCGCCCTCCCCGCCGTCGGTGCCGTCCGTCGAGTCGGACTTCTTCAGGCTCTTCTTCGCGTCCGCCTCCTGCGCGCTCTCCGCGGACGGACTGGTCGGCGGGGTGGCCTCAGTCACTGTCGGTGTTGATGGCACGTTTGGCGGTTTTACTTCAATGGGTTCTTCCAGCGGCGAACTCGGCTCGCTGATCGGCGACGACTCCAGAACTTCGGTCCAGAATCTCGCTCCTGCCGCTTCCGCTACTTTAGCTTAAGAGTCAGATGGAGAAGGCAGAAATAACACAGACAATACAATTAGTTCACAACTGTTTCCTTTACACGAGCGCGTATGCTAATCAACGTATGCGTCGCGAGTCTCGCGAGCCGTCCTTCACTCACACGTATGTACAAACCCACACGTATATCTCTGAGGCTTGTAACTGACTGCCGCTTGCATCATCTCACGCAGACGCAGTACGCACACATACACTTTTCCGCGCCATTTCCATGGCGCTACTTTCGAACCATCATACATCGGCCAATCGGAGAATTGAGAGACCGACGCGCACGCCATCCATTATCGACTGTTCGGCTCGCGTCGCGCCTTCGAGATCTTTCGCGTACAACCAAATCTTTGATTTGAGCAAATATTTTCTTAGAAAAATTAAATATTTGTTAAACATATTTATCGATATTAAATAATGTATTTTCTGATTGTGAAGTAAATAACTACAACAAGCTAATGATTTCTGGCATTTAAGTAAATATTGTTGAAACATATTTATCGATACTAAGGGCCGGTCTCACAGTCTCCGATTAACGTGATTCTTCGATTAAACTCACTCTTCGTCTCTTTCTAGGGGAATAGTTAGAAAGAGATGCAGAGTGAGTTTAATCGGAGAATCACGTTAATCGGAGACTGTAAGACCGGCCCTAAATAATTTATTTACTGGATAAAAGTGAATATTTTCTAATTCCAAAGTAATGGTATCTTTGATTCAAATACATAATTATTTATTAATTATAAAGAAATATATTTTCAGTTTTCAAACACCAACGCTTTGATTCAAGTCAACATTCTCTCAGATTGAAGCAAATATTTTCTTAGAAAAATTAAATATGTGTTAAACATATTTATCGATATTAAGTAATGTATTTTCTGGTTGTGAAGTAAATAATTTCTGATACCAAGCTAATGATTTCTGGAATTTAAGTAAATATTGTTTAACCATATTTATCGATACTAAGTAATTTATTTACTGGATAAAAGTGAATATTTTCTAATTCAAAAGTAATGGTATCTTTGATTCAAATACATAATTATTTACCAATTAGAAAGAAACATATTTTCAGTTTTCAAACACCAACGCTTTGATTCAAGTTAACATTCTCTCAGATTAAGTAAATTATTTTGTAGTTGAATTTTTCAAAAACCAAAGTTTTCATTTTATTTATTCAAAATAATATTTATTTTTATCAAGTAAATATATATGCCTAAAATATTTAATTATGTACAGATATGAATTGCTTGAGTCAAAGAAATATTATTTATTACAACAAAATATATATTTCGTTATTGAAAGTGATTATTTGTTTGCTTTTAGTATCTCAGTATTACTAAATTGGTTTTCTTAAATTAAATAAATACTTTTTTTATTCAAGTAATTTTAAAACTTAAATCAAACAAATATTTATTTGCAATTGGCTACTACTTTTAGGTAAATGCATTTATTACATGTAAGAAAATTATTTCACAGTTTTAAGAAAATATTATTTGATTTAAAATAACGTTTTCTTCATGTAAGTAAATATTTATTAAGGACATAAATTACTTTTACGCAAATAAATATTTTCTTAAAAGTAAAAAAATTTGCTAGATTTTAATAAATAATTATTTAATTCAAGTAAATATATTTCAAGTTAATATATTTACTTAAATCAAATAAATTTTTTTTTCAGTGCAAAGATATAGACAAGGATAGCACGCTACATTGCACGCACACATAC